GTCGGGTGCCGGGGGCGTTTTCAGTAGGCAGGCCGCCTCACCTGGGGGCAGCTGGTCACAGGTGGCGTCCAGGGCCAGCTCTCGAGGCAGGTCCCAGCTCTGCAGGCCGCTCCGCAAGTGGAGCCGGGCCCAGAAGGCCGGTTTCTGCAGGCGCAAGTCCATCCGGCCACCGCGCGCAATCTGCGCGGGTCGAGGCTTTTTCCGGGCGGGCGGGGCTGTCCTGGCGCGCTCCGTCCCTTTAAGCGCTCCCCCCCCCCGCCGGCTCGGGTGGCCGCGCCGATATTGCTTCATATTCCCGACTCCTGGTTTGTGGGAGCGGTAGGAAGGGGCGCAGTCGACGGGCGGGCGAGAGAGTCGGAACGGCTCCTGCCAGTTCCCCACGCCTCTTTCGGTCTTTGCCCAACCCACTTGGCCACAACTGAGATAACCTCAGTTTAGCCGAGGTATTGTGCGAACCCAGGCTCTGCGCTTGGTCACGGTTTCATACATTGCATAAGCTTGGAAACTTGAGTTAATTCAGTAAACCATGGTTGTTAATCTTGAGTAAATGTGCCCTGGGAACAAAATGTAGGTGTTTCTCCCATTAAAGCTCAGATTTCTGCCCATTAGCCCCAGGCATGTGCGATGGGACAGGCTTGTGCACCCCAGAACCAGCTTGAGGCAAGGATCACCAATGGGCCTGTCTGGAGCCAGTGCTGGGACTCCCTTGCCAGCCAAGGAAGGGGGGGCCTGGGCAACCCCAAACACTCTGGCCAGCCCCAGCTGATCCCAGCTGGTAGCAGGAAAGTCACCTGCCCTGATGGGTCACCTAGTAGCAGTAGCCCCCTGTGGAGGAAGAGTCAGAACTCCTGGACAAGTCAAAGGTTCAGCACTGGGAGCAGGCAGGGACGGATTGCACGCTGACAGGCCGCAACCTTCAGGTGCAGGTAACAGAGGGCTGGACTGGGCTGCCCCTGATCCTGCAAAGCAGCCTCTCCCCAGTACACCCAAGAGGAATGGGGACAACTGCTCCGTGGTGCTCTGGGAGCAACAAAAACATGGGGCAATTGCGCCTGGTGCGTGAGAGATACACAGCTGCAGCGAGCTGCTTTTCTGTGCCAGATGAGCAAAACACATTAACGCTGTGCAGGAGATGGTCTTATGCAGTCCTCTCAAATTCCTGGAACACGCTTTTTCTTTTTCTTTTTTTTGCACCTACCTCCTTCTACCAAGTTTTGAATTGTCAGCTCCAGGGCCAACTTCAGATCTTATCTCCACTTCCAACCCCCTTTTAACACCTGGCTCAGCCCCTCACCTTCCACCCTCTCCCTGGCAAGAGAAGGTCTGGCTTTGACATCTTTGTCAGGCCAACGTAAGGCAGGTTCCATCAAGATGGCTCACCCAAGTTTATCCACCAAAGTGAAAGGCAGTCCTGTTTGTTCCCAGGCCTCTCTCTGTGCTCGAAAGTTGTAGGGAAGCGAGGGTGGCTGGCATTGGATTAAGTGTGTGCCCAGGGCATAGCACCCTGGCACCTGCACATGGCCCAGGGCAAAGAACCCCTCAATCAGGAAACAGGCTTGTTACCTAATCACACACAGGTGAGAACGGGGGCAAGGAAGGGCATTTTGCACAACCCAGCCTGGCCTAGAAGCACCCCAGCGAGCTGAAGTGCGTTGTCCACCCCTTCCCCTCCTAGGGCACTTGTGACCACAGTGCAAACGCCAACACCAGCTCCAAAGTACCACTATTGGCACACGTGGGTTCTTTTGCCCCACAGGGTGGCCATTCAAAACAAGGACCGGTACATGTTGTTGAACTAACCTATTTTCTAGATCGATTCACACCAAGCCTATCCAAGATGAGTACGTTGTACAGATGCAGCCATGTTCACACAGGTACTAGATCCACACACACACACACCTCAGTGGGCAGGAGATCACTTCAGGCCTCCCACTAGTGAGAGAAAGCACCTGACCACTGTTCTATGGACTGACCAAGTTCCTGTATCTCAACAAGCACCATTACAGACAGGAAAGGTGTCCTTCCTATTATCAAATAGAGAAGTAAAGGCCTGAATAATCTTAACCTTAAGCCTGCAAGAAAAAAGAAAAAGTTAAAGATATTACCAAAATGTGGACAAACTGAAAATTGAATTATGAGATGTTTGCTATGTTGTCATTTTAAATGATGCATAAAATGGCTAAGATGCAGAAGTAGTTTTATATTTGGAAATGGACCAAATGAAATACACCAAAATTAATATGTAAAAGGGTAGAGACGCTTCTCTCAATACAGGTAATCCTTCAGTTTTCCAAAGTCACTGAAAATGAAAGATTCAGAAAAAGTAAAAAAATGTGACTGACAAAATGTTATTTCATACGGCACTGTGTATTCTGAGCCTTGCTCCCCTTCCTCAGTTTCCCCCCCCGAAAATCAACCAAGCGCAACAGAGGGTAAAATCCGAAACATCTAACTTGTCTGTTTGTTCTCAGTGTTGATGGTGTCTTCTGTTTTTCAAACAGCTTTTTCTCCACCTGCTTACACAGGCAAAAATAATGAAATGTTATATGCAGCTTAAAATACCACTGGTAACAAATTAAAGCATTTGAAAGGAAGCTGTATTAATCTATATTTAATGTTGGTCTTATATCATTTTTCTGTATTACAGCATACATAACATCATAAACAAGCCAAGTTATAGATAATGTATTTTACAAAACACAAAGTGACTTCATATCAATAAAGGGTATTAGAAATTAGGTGCTGTTTATATTCCAGCCCCGCCCCCTTTTTTCTGCAGTACGGAGCCAATGGCATTGTGGAACATTGCTGTGGTGGTGCCGCTCATGGGAGGAGCCCCCTCCCTGGGCTCTCTTTCCCACTTTTGGTCCAGATGCAGAGGTCAGCAATTGCTTTTCCCTGGGGGGCCAGGTAGGGAGGAGGTTGTTGGTGCCAGAAGGGCTGTGCAGCTGCCAAGGGGGCCTTGATGGTTCTCCTCCTCCTCCCTGGAACCAGTCTGAGAGGCAAGGAGATGGGGGAAGTGCTTGGAGAAGGGAGACTGGGGGTCGTGCCCCCCATCTCTCTCTACCTGGCAGGGGCAGTTCCATCGAGATGGACGCTGGCAGTCTTCCCATGGGCCCTGAGCGTGGCCCTTTTCTTGCGCAAGCAATGGGATTTCCTCAGCCTGGCATTCTGCAGCTCTCTCCCCCCTTGGCTTAGTTTGAGTTTAGGGTTGCTGAGTAAATCTGCATTAATTTGCATGCGGGGAAAGCAAGAGGAGACTGTCTCAGGAGGAGGCCCTTCCTCAGGAAGAGAAAAGGAAGGCAGGTGAGCCTTGTTCCACTCTGTCGATAGAGGATGTAGCTGCTTTGTTTCCTTTTCACTTATTTTATGATATTTTTATACCTCCCCAATCACAATAAGTGGAACAGAGAAGCCTTAGTATAAAATAAATAAAATTTGTCAGCTGCAATTTGGCCAACACTTTTATGAAAACTGCTTTGAAAGCATAGCTTACAACCTGATTCTGGGATTTTGAAAGGGGATTCCTCCGTGGACCAAAGGCTCGATCAGAGACCGGTCTGAAGATCCATTCAGCCCAGAAGGTGGAAGCCGGATCTAGTGGGCACCTGGACAGGCAGGGAAGGAGGGCTTTGTTTTGCCTGCTCGGTTCCAAAACCAGAAGCTACGATGCCTTTCGGGGCATCCATTTAAAACAACCACAGCTAGACCGCGGTGAAGCGTTCCTTTGCAGCCGCAGGAGAGGAGAGGAGAGGAGCTGAGGGGGCTCTGCGGGGCTGGGGAAGAGTCCTCTTGCCCCCCCTTACAGGTGGCTCAGGCTGCAATGGGAAGAGCCCTGCTTGAGCTCACCCCCCACAGAGGGGGCCCTTTAGGGTTAGACGATGGTGCAAAGCAAGATGGGGGCAGCCAGCCCTGGCGTTTCCACCACCAGAGGCCCAGCCAGGAGCCCACAGGAGCTGCGGAGGCTGGCCGAGGGCAAGGCACCCGTGCCCTCATCCGCAGCCCCCCTTCCTTGACGGGCCGGTGAGGCCCGTTCCAGCCTAAAAGAGGCGGCCAGGAGGCAGCGCTGACGGTGGGTTTCCTTCCCCTGCAGCCCCTCACCCTTCTTCCTTGACACCCACCTCCACGCCCAGAAGTGGATGATGGGGGAGTTTCCTCTCTCCCTGCCCTCCTGCACTGCTCACTTGCTGCTCAGCAGGCTGTGGTTCACTGTGTCCATGGAAACCATTAGTTGCTAAGCGACAGGAGCATCGTCTGCACTGAGCCCTCGCATCTAATTATCCCATCGCGGGGGCTGAGAGGGTCTGGGAGAAAGCGGGGAGGACAAGGCTTGGGTGCATTCAAAGAACAAGGGGCGCTCAGCCCCTCTGGCATCAAGGAAAGGGCCCTCCCCTCGCCTCCTGCCACCCCAGAGCCCAAACCCGAGTCTTGTGGGCGACAAAAAGGCCTTGCGATGCTCTATGAGGGGCACCGGCTCCTTTGGGGAGGGCAGGAACCTCCTCCAGGGGAGCCTCTGACCACTGCCCATCGCCGGGAGGTGCCCCGTGAAGCCTCTGCTGCTCCTGGAAGACAATTCCTCCGCTCCTCCCCAAATTGCAGGCAAAGCCCCCCAGCAAGCAGGGCCTGGCCTGAGACACCCGCGAGAGGGAGTCCCCTGCGAGGAGGCGGGCAGCCAGGGGCCCGGGGCCGCCCAAAGGGAGGGCCCCGGAGCAGGCTGCTCCCCGCTCTGCCTCCCCTCGCCCACGCCGCCAGTCCCACTTCCATCTCGACCCTCCGTTCCTTGATCGCCATGGTAACACTCACGCCGCCTCTGACGCCCCAAAGGCCCTGTCCCGCTTCCCAAGCTGGGGGGCAGAGGGCTCCTGGTACACCTCGAGGGTCCGCCGCGGGAGGGGGCGGGCGCCCCCCTCCTCCTGGCTTGCTCTCCATCCCTTC